GTGAGTTGACTCGCAAATGTGCGTTCGCAAACCAGGCAAATTTGGCCTTCGCCCGACTGGCCATCGTGGTCCGCGCACGTCTGCTTGTCGATGGGCGAGTAGAGGTTTGGTCGCTTGCCTCGCTGACGCGCGACCGCTCCTTGAGCGTGTTGAGCTGCCAGCGGATAAACGCATCAGTTTGACGTCCGTCGTGATGAATGGTCCTTTGCACAACCCACGACTCGTGAAACTTCACCAAGACAAGCGAGCTACCAATACACGCATGTGCCAAGCTCAAATCTCCAACTTTAAAACGGACCAGTGCGTGTTAGTTGCATATCGGTGACGACGCTACGCAATACGACCGAGAAACTTGTACGCGAAGACGGCAACCACCATCGCGGCAACGCAGCTCCCCAAAATCATACGGAGCGGAGTCGTCGGTTCGCTCGTGGCGTCGCTGGGGGCGTTGCTCGCGGCGTCGCACGCATTTGGTTCTTCTGGTTCTTCTCCCCGAAAAGCTTTGAGACGGTTGTTGGTGTTGATGTGGTAATTGATCGTCGTGTCCTTGGTCTTGAGGTCCGCTGCCGGGCCGGAAGGGAACCGCGAGCCGAGACCTTGGCTGGACATCTTGATGAACGGAGCGCAAATATCAAAGTGGGTGCGCCGTCGAATACAAACGGACCAAAGATCGGGCGAAAGTTCGATTATATATTATAAAACGTATGATTGTATTTTCTCATTTATAAAACAGCTTGTACACGTCATAGTATGTGTTTTAAAAAATGACGCCCAATTTATATGGAAATGATAAATTGAAATGGAACCGCTTTTCAAGTGTTTTTAATGTTTGAGCAGCAGGTCCAAGCTTCTAGAACCCACCCCCGTCCCAGATTCGCTCCCGCTTCCCATGGCTCCAGCCAGGCTCCAGCACATGTATGCGTCGGCGACCTGCGTTTGGCGAGGCTCATGCATGCTATGTAGGCGACACGCCTTTATCTCGTGACGTCGCAATAGCTCGTGTCCTATGGCCCCGCGTGTAAGATCAATATCCTCGGCAAGGCCGCCGCATCCACGCCAAGTCGATCTTCACGGTATATTGCGCCCATCCTCGTGCATCGCGGTAGCTCAGGATGACGCGCAAAGTTTGTGTGGCGGCCGAGCGGGTAGACGCACGGCGATTGCGACAGCGCTCTCGGCGTCGTCGTCCGCCTCCACATCCTCGTTACCGGTACCGTGTCACGGTGTACGTGTGGACTGAGCAGTTGTAGGATATGTGGATTGCATGGCGGTGGCGGCAACATCGAGATGGCACCGGCGCCATGCCTGACACCGCGGCGCATGGAGAAAGGGTGCAACCATCTGAGCTCGTCGACGATGGGTCGCGGTCCCTGTAGCACGGGCAATCAGCGGGCTGTTGCTCAAGGCGAGGCTTGTCACGCCTTGGAGGTACCAGACTCATATACTGCGCGCAGCTCGAGCGTGAGGCCGTCCTGCCTGTCCCGTCCGGCGCAAGTGTACAGCGCTCGTTGGCGCTGTGTTAATAAGACCAGTGTCGAAGAACTTGTCTATGCTATGCTACACATACCTAGGGACGGCATTGCGTCGGGCTGGTCGGTCGGCGAAGAAGCGACTTGCGGCTGGGTTTGCTTTCAGACGGAGCAGGCGCGCGCGGCAAACATGGATCCAGCATTGCATCCTCGTCATCGCTTTCCAGATGTTTGGTGTGACCAAGGTCACGCGGGCTGGCAAGCTTGCACCACGATCAACGCCTGGCAATTTTGTCAGCTACGACGTCGACGACAACGATCCAGATCGCGGCTACAAAATTCTCGACCTCCGCACTGGTCAAGTCGCACACGCTCGAGCTCCTGTCATCTTTGAAGATCAAACGGTCGATGGCGACCACGTGCGCCAATTTCTCAGCAACAAGGCCAAGAGCTTGCTACCAAAGATGATCCCGCTCGCTCACCTGCCGGTCGTCGACATTCCCGACACCTGCATCCCTCTCGTCGAGCTCAAGGACAGCAGAGACGAAGAAGAGAACGACAGCGATGAAGAAGATGCCAATGAGAACGCGAAGTCGAGCGACGCCAGCGATGCATCGGAGCCAGCAACAGTTGGCAGCAACAAGGCCCAAAAGAACAAGACGTCCAAGAAGGCCAAGAAGGTAAGAAAAAACACGTACGTTTTACGCCCACACTCGCGCAAGAAGACCAAGTCGTCCACCAAGAAGAGTACCAAGATCTACGCTCTTCTCCAAGAACGCGACCAAGAAGAGAAGGTTCCAACGACGTTCGCAGAAGCCATCAGCTGCTCAAGCAAGAACAAGTGGATCGCCGCTATGGAAGCCGAGTACAACTCGCAAAGCTCGAGCACAAGACGTGGAAGCAGGGGTTCCGACAGTAAGTGGGAAAAATGAAGTGTATATTTTGGACCTGGATAAATCATTGTGATGTCCGAGCACTACATTTCAATACTGAGCGGCAACGCTCGCCTATGATCTTGCCACGGCAGAGAGGGTCGCATACAAGTGCACGGCGCGCCCGACGGTCGCGGACGCCAGCCGCGCCGTGGTAAACGGTGCATGCAAGAGCGCGGTCAGTCCCAGTCCTTGCAGCCAAACTTAAAGCTCGCGTCACGGTCACGCCGACCGCCGTCGTGTACTGGACCGTGATGTGCAATTGAGCGAGCACGGCGTGGCGCACTTGAGGCGCCTTCGTAGTGCTGCAGCATCTTGGCGGTATGGCGGCGAAACTCGTATTTTTGATAGACGACTCACTTTAACAACAACGACTAGAACGAATCTCGAGCGTAATGTTCTTCCAGAGCGAGAGCGACTGCATCGCGTAGGCAAACTGCGTCTTGTGCTTGTGCGTGAGGCGCGCGCCGTTGCGGCCGGCGCGAATGTCGAGGGCAAAACCACCCGACGGCGACAAAAAGTACCGTTCGAGGTACGCTTGAATCTTGGAGATCGGGCCGCAGTTGAGCGCGATGTAGCTGTTGTTGTCGTCGATGGACGCGAGGCAAGCCGAATGTCGTCGGCCGTCAAGTCCTTGGTCGCATAACTACGCAGATAACGTGAGCAATGTACGAGCACTCGTGGGGGTTGTACTGGGCGACGAGCGACGCAATCGCCGCGGCCTTTTCCTGGCGCTGGACAGCCGCCTGGGCGCTCGTGTCCGAGATGGACCGGGTGGCAATCGGAACGTCGGCGTCGAGGAGGAGGTCGAGGCCGTTGCGCGAGTTGAGGCGACAGGCCAGATAGCGAGGAAGAGGATATACCTGGGTACATGATCTTGTAGCGACGCCCAATCTCAAAGGCAGCCTTGAAGAAGACGGCAATGTCCGTCTGGGCGCGGTCCAGCACTTCTTCTTGCCGTTGCGAAAGTCGCTGGCGACCATCATGCCCGACATGACGTTGAAGAGGCACGTGAGCTTTGTCAGGATGCGCTCCACCGGCGACGGGTACGAGAGGATGTCGACCTTGTCCGTGTACTCGGACACGTTGAGCGACGCGTCCAGGAGGTTGAAGAGCACGCGCTCCGCGTCGCTGAGGCGCATCGGAATGTACTTGGCGCGACCGGCCAGCACCTGCGCCTCTTTGGTCACGACACCACGCGCACCATGCGGCGCCTCGCTCGAGTCGTCGTCGTCGTCGTTGTCGCTTGGCGGAAGACAGACCTTGTGGTCCTTTGGCGTCTTGACGGTGCGTCGCCGTGGGCGCGGACTTGCCTGTGAAAAGCTCATGTCTTCCTGTGCCACCTCGGCGATCGAGCGCAACATGGTCGACTGCGACGCATGCTCGTCCTCAACGTCGAGCCGTAACGCGTCCACGTATGGCGGACTCATGAGCCCAAACACGTTCGGGCTCATGGGGACGCGCGGCGTCGGCTCGACCTTGCCGCCGTCCTCGGCCTTGGCGTTCGCCTCGAACTCAAACACTCGGCTCTCGCGCCTTCTTCTTACCCGGCGTCGGCGCCGGGAAAGAGAGCCGTCGCGGGACGAGTTTGTACGACGACCGGCGGCGCAGCTTCTGCCGGGGCGCGGCCTCGCGCTTCGCGTCATTCTTGCCGCGCGTGCTTCTGCGGCTCGTCATCTTCATCCTCAAGAAGTTTCCATTTCTGCGCGAGTAGGCCCACCTCGCGATACTAGTATCTACCACATCTGCTCATGCGACGACGACGGTACTAGGGTCATTGAGGACTATATTGTATGAGGCCCATTGCATTTGGTCGACGACGTATTTATGCAGCACGCTCATCTGGGGCGCCCTCACGGTCTGCAGGCTCTCTCATTTTCTGCGCCGGATCCACATTTACATTATGCGTCATCGAGCGTGATGCCACCGAGGCAGTGGCAACCGCCGCTGGCGACTTCGTGCGGATGCCGAGGTCGTCCATGATCTCCATGGCTGCCAGCCACACCTCCGACTTAATGAGCGCATGCTTTTTTGCGTCGAGTTCGTCCGTGAACGTGCAGAGGCGGACGCGGTAGAGCTGGTCCATGGTCACAAAAAAAGTTGCTTGGGCTTCTCGTCGTCATTGGAGTCTTCGTGCGAAGTCAGACCCATGTGGCATGGGTTTGCTTTGTAGGGCGCCCGCCAACTCGATCGCAGTGCACCCGAGCGGCAAGCTGGCGTTCTCGGACGCGCGCGACAAGACGCTCCGCACGTGGAACTTGGTCAAGGCGTACACTCGGCGCCTCGACCAGGAGGGGTGTTCCTTTTCCGACGGCGGCAACTGGTACGTTTTCCGATAAATTCACACAACCGCTTGCTAAAGCGCAACCCCGACGCCGGCCTCATCGACCTCAGTGGTCTCTATAAAGTCCGCCTCGACCAAGGAATGCGTGCCGCCGCCAAACGAGTCGATACGCTTTGCCGCGACATTGACAGTCTCTTGGCATCCACAAAGTACGAGGTGGCGTTCCAGACGGCGCTCGGCGCCGAAAACGTGGCGCTGGTGTTTTACACGTGCACCAACGTCGAGACGTGCTTCGTGCTTGGCGTGCGCCCGCCCGTGCTCTCGCAGATGATTGTGCTCTGTCTCGTGCAGCAGCTCGGGTCGGACCTCCAGCGCGACTTGGGTCTGAGCCTTAAGTGGGTGCAGGATTCGGTCCTCGTCATGAACTCGCGATACGGCGATCGCGCCGTATGTCCAGAACGTGCTCCAGGAGCAAGGCGCGCTCAACCACGTGCCCGCGACTCGCAGTTTGCCCTCGTGCACCACATTTTTAACTCGATGTTGAGTTATACCTAGTTAAGTAGGCTGGACGACTCATATACACACGCGTGTTAAGAGCATGTCATGCCTTGTCGTGCCACTCCCAGATAGGATGGATGTACGGACACGCGAAGAATGCATGCATCTCCGTCTCGACGGCGCCGCAGCCATGGCTGCACACAATGGCTCCGGGCTCTTGGTGCTGGATGTAGTGCGTGCGCGAGTTGACAGGAAGCATCCGCATCACGAGGCGGAACCAGACGTGGGCGTGCACGGGCGCCGCTGCGGCCAGCAAGCGGCGCATGTCGGCAAGATACGTCTTGACGTCGTCGTTGGTCCGGCGCGTTGTCGACAGCAGCGGGTGCGGACGACTTTGTGCGGGCGTGTGCATGGCCAAGTCGCGGACGTCGCGTCGGGGCCAGTTCTCGAAGGGCGTCACGACGTCCTTGATGGTCTTCCTGAACGGGTGACGTCATCGCCGGTGACGTCATCGCCGGCAGCGATACGTCCGTGCGAGCGGTGAGCAATCGCCGCACCTTGTCGTCGATGGCACACACGTGCTTTTAGGCGACCGCGGTGTCTCGAGCTGCGGAGATGACGATCCGGCCTGCTCGGTTGAGGCGCATGCGCGGGGTTGTCAAGCCGTATGCGCGCTGCGATTTCTTTCCATGTGAACCAGTGGCCGCTCGGCGTCATAAAGTCGCGGAGCGCCCTGAGCCCGTTGCCAGCCCCGTGCAGGCACCATTCCCGACCCACGGCGTGCTTGACGAGCTTTGCAGCGTGTCGGACTTTTGGCGCCTGGCGTCGAACCAAAACGGGTGCAGCTTCGACATCTTGATCCACTTGGCGCCCCAGTGCGGCAAGTAGCACAAACGTCGAACGGGTGCGAGTCGCGATACAAGTAGCCCATACACGCGACAAACTGCATGAGGACCAGCGGCGCCCAAAGCGACCGTTCGTCCTCCGGGAGCATCAAACGTTGCAGCGTGAGAAGGCGCTGGGTGCGGATGGCAGACGCAATGTGCGGCATCCTGGCACCGAGAGCAACGTGGTGGTGCCGCGACGAGTGACGCAGCGACTGGTACGGCTCCGTCGGGTCGCGCTTGCGTCCCAGCACGTAGCGCGTGAGCATCTGCTGCCACGTCGTGACGGTCTTGGGCGGGATCACGACCACCGCCGTGACGTGCCAGAGAAGCGAGACCGTGACGTGTGTGTGGATGCCAAGAGGCGCCGGCCTCGCCCGGTAGCCCCAATGATGGAAGCTCGCGAAGTACCGGTCGGAGATGAGCAGCACTTAGTAATGCCGGGTCGACACGAGTTCCCACGTAGACGTCGAGAAAGCGCACGGGTGTGCCAGGAGGTGCGAAGTTGAGGATTGCCGCCGGGGCATCGACCACGACGGGCGGCGCCTCTGCAGCGGCGACGGCTTCGGTTGGCGCGCGTTCCGGCTCTTGGGAATCAACAGCCACGAGTGCAGCTACCTCCGCTTCAGGCGGCGGCGCTTTAGCGTCATATTCGTCTGCCTCGTTGACGGCGTTTTCGTCGTCTTTCTCCCGGCATTGGACACGGCGTCTGAGTTGTCGTCAGGATCAAGCGCGCCGTCCGGGTCGACCACCGCAGCGTCGGCCGGAGCGGGCGCGGCAGACCCGTCGGCGCCGGGCGCTCGTGCAGCTCGTGTGTGCAGCTTCAGGGGACCCCTTGCGCCGATGCATGCCATTATACCCTTGTGCACAACCATCGACGTCGCCACTCCGTATCCGTATCCGGATGTTTTTGTTCGGATATCCGCGAGAAAATCAAAATCGCTCTGGCAGCCTGCAGCAACAGCATGGTCCGGCCCCTTGCCGAGGACATCGCTAGCGCGCTGGCCGAACTGCCCCGCTCGGCGCCGGACGCCATCGTATTGGCCAGGCGCATCGCGCTTGCGCTTCCGAGCGCGCAAGCGGCAGACATGCCAGCCATGCTCGCTTGCCTTCGCCAGCTGGCCCGTAAGTACCCTCATCGCCTCTTCATCATCTCGGCCCTCTGGTCGCCTGCGTTGGCGTCGCTCCTCGTACAACACGCCAACGCGCCTCACGCCAACGTGGCGCGCCTCGTCGCGGTCGTACTCACGTGCCCATCTTTCAAGGGCTCCGTGGACGGTATCAAGGCCCTCTTGTTCACACGCAGCTTCCTGCAGCGGGTCGGGGCAGGCCTTTCCGCATCCGACGACCCGCTTGACAGCACCATCTACGCGTGGGCGGATCTGGCCGCGCAGGTGGCACGCCGTAGCGATATTGCGGCCCTCGAGCGACGCGGCGCGGAACAGGCCAAGCACCCCGCGACGGCCAGCCGAGTACTCGGCGCCGCCAACGGCATCCTCGCAGACCTCAAGGAGCTCGCCAAAAACCCAGACGAGACTTGTGGGGTGCTGCTCATCGTGCTCGCGTACGTGACCCGATACGGCCAAGAACTCGCAGAAAGTACGCCGGCCGAGCTCGTCGCCTTGGCCGCTGACGTGCAGCAGTTTGCCGGCAAAGACAATACGCCGGCCACCCGCGATGTGGCGCTCGACGTGCTCACGGCGATCGTCTCGCGGACGAGTACCTTCGACCCCGCGTTCTTGACGAGCATCGCGACGGACCGCGCTGCCTCGGACGCCGAACGGCGCTTTGTTGCGGCGTGCGTGCTTGCCGCGCCGACGCTCCAGACGGTCGATGAGGCACAACGCGTGCTTGCGTCGGCGCTCCCCAGTGCTTTTGATGCGGCGCCCACTTCTCTGGTCGTTCTGGCGCTCGCATTGGCCGACTTGGCGCCGTCTAGCGGGCCCAGCCTCCAAAATGTGGTAGCTGCAGCGCTGGGTCTTGTGCTTTCTCGCGATCTGCAGCTCGCGTTGGGACTCTGCGTGGCCGTGCTCGGCGGCGCAGGCGGCCCATTCCAAGTATGGCAATTTGTGGCTTCGCGCCACGAACGCCAATTCCACGCCGAGGCTCTCCACGTCGACGAGCGCAGCTCACTGTCGACATCATGGGCAGCGATTACCGAGGCAGCGCCAATGGCCTCTAGTCCGACTATCGAGTCGCTCGTCGGAAGCGCCAAAGAGCCAGACGCCGCCGCGCCATCCACGCCCAACGTGCGCTTCACGCCTGCACTCCCGGGTTTCGTCGATGTCGCAGCCGTGCGTGCGATCAGTGACACGATGGAGCGCCTCATCACTGTCTCGGTTCCCAGGTCGCTCGAGCAAGACATGCGCGTACGTCCACAGGCTTGTATGTCATTTACCAGCGATGTGTAGATGTGCGAGCTCGCTGCAATGTCCAGTGCCTCGGTGCCTGCGCTCCGCAAGCGCATGGTGGACGGCTTCTTGACGCCTCTTGTGAAGCGCATGCCCTCGAGCGTGCCGGTCAACGTCGTCCAGGAGTTGTACGACGTGCTGCATATGCTGCGCCAATGGGACGTCGCGACCTGCACCCCTACCAGGAACGACGTCGACGACTTCTTCGGGTACGAAATCCGTCGACTACGACTTCATGGCTCTCATCTCGACCTCGTAGGCCACTCCAATCCGAATTGTGTCGCATGATCGGCGAAACGCGCGACAACGCCAATGTGTGCTTCTGGGCGTGCAAGGCCTATTTGATTGTCGCTGCTGACGACTCGCGCTCGTTGGCCCCGGTCGTGGACGCTCTTCAAAGCGACACGGCGCTTGCGTTGGTGCCACTTTTGTGCAACTCAGCGCGCGCCGGCACGGCGCTGACCATTGTCGAGCAGGCATGGAGCAGCGCGCTCGTACCGTCAGCCCGTGCACTCGCTATGCTCGGCCGCTCGTGCGGTACCGAAAAACAGCACAGCAGCCGCGTCTGCACGCTGCTTAAAAAGGTAGACGCCGCTGCGTCGATCGAGATTTTGCACGCCTTCGCCGCTTGGCTTCCCGTCTGTGCCTTCACCAAGTCTACTCTGGAAGACGCCTACCGAAATGCCTACATCACGGTGGCTCACAAAGCCACGTTTGTACTGGCGCTCTCGAAGACGGTCAAGATCAGCGATGCCCTTTGCTGGCTGGACACGGTGACGACACACGTTGTCATGTCGGATGTGTGCAAGCTTGCGTGCGTCCTCGCTGCGTCGCATCGGCCTTGGCTGCCCGTCGTCGTTGCATTTTTTGCGCGACACAGCGAGGACGAGGTCGTGGCCACCAACGTCCGTGCACACATGGCAGCGCTCGCCAACGTGTACGAGTTCAAGTCGGCAACGGCGATGGCCCTCAACTTGCTGTGGCCCATTTTGTGGCGGTACGCTGAGCTCACGGAGGAGCTCGCGTACGACGCAACCCTCGGTCGTCGTCTCGCCGCGTTCCCTGCGCACATTTTGGGGTTCTCGTCCACGAAAGACCCGGCCTTTGCCGCCATCTTCAGTCCATTTGTAGCGTTTTTGGCCCACGCCAACGTCTTTGACCGAAACGTCGTCAAGGTCCCCCACGCGCTACAGTGCGACGACAACGAGACGGGGCAGATCCTCGCGGCGCTCGGGCGACGCACCAAGCTGCCGATCACGTCGACGGCGGCGACTTGTCGGGCTCTTGAACACGGGTTTAGCCTTCTTGAAGTGCTTCCTGGTGTCGCCGCGTGGCTTGAACGGGCTGTGCTTCCACGTTTGACCGCCGCGCATTGCGCCGCCACCGCCACGACGGTCAGCTCAGTTCTTTTTGCCGCGCGAGACCCTGGAGCCGTCGCGGCTGCACTCAATGTGCTGCGCTCGGTCTTCCGCAGTGGCTTGCCCGTTGCTGTGGATGACGGCGATGCGCAGTGGGTCTTGTTACGGTGCTGTCTGCACCACATTGTCGCACACCCGGAGCTCGTGATGCCCTTGTCCACCATGGTCGGATGCTTTTCCCGCACCGTGGCTTTCATCCAACACAAGCAGCGACTCTGCGACGGCATTGCCGCGCTGGAAGTCGATGGAATCGTCCGACGTCAACTTGATTGGGTGCTTGAAGACTGCCAGCCGGACGCCAGACAGTGCCTCCCGGCGCTTGCGGCCAACGACGGCAGCTCCACGCGGCAACCATTCACGAGCGTCCACTTGGCCTGCACGGCACCCACCGCGCTCTATGCGTCCATGCTTTGCGCGGACGACGCGACGGTCGTTCTGCACGCGTTGCTCGGGCTCAAGGTGCGCTACGCTTCGCCGGCTGCCATGTTGCACATTGCGACGTGCATCGGGCACGGCCGTGTCGCGCTACCGATGGCGCTTGATGGCAAGCAGTGGAGCGCCATTCACGAGCGTCGCCGCTCGGTGGCCCTGCCTCCTCTCGGCGGAAACGACCGCGAGATCCTCGTTGCCTCGGTCCACCAACTTGCCTTGGACGCCAACCTGACGGCGGCGATCCCTGCCATGCGTGTGTGCAGCGCGTACCCGCAAGGAGAAGAATGGTCGCGCGTGAAGGCCGAGTGCGCGCCCGGGACGCTCCCGGTGACGTGGGCGAGCATGTATGGCAAGCCCGTTGACGACTGGGTCAAGGACACGGCACAGAACGTCGTCGCATGCTCCAACGAGCCGTATCTTGCGGCGTGCACCGACTTGGTGGCTTGCGACGTCGGTATCGCGCGACAGTGTCTGGCCATCGGCCTTGAAAAGGTCTTTCGCGCGAATGCACACGACGCCATGTTTGCCCCCACGATCGCAAACGTCGTCGTGGACGCGCCCGTGCTTCACGGTCAAGTGCTCATCGAGGCTCTCCTTCGCGTGGCACGGACGGCGCCCAAGCTGCCACGACTCCTTCTTGCTCGGCACGCGCTTCGGTGCAACATGCCGTACTCGGCGCTCCAGTGCATCGAACTTGCGGCCGCGGACGACGTGAAGGATCTCCTTTTGGACGCGTACAATGCGATTGACGACGCCGCCAGCAACGCCAACGCGTACTGGGCGTCGACGCCGCCATCAAAGCGCCTGCGTGACTACGACGGGGTTGTGGCCGCCATCAGTGAGCGCTCGAGCTTGGGTCTGGACTCGCCGAGCACGAGCAAGAGACTCATCAACAACTGCTTTGCCGCTTTCGAGGCTGGTCAGCACGCTCGTCTGGCGTCACTGGTGGCGATAGCCAAGCAACGCATCCTGGAAGGCGTCTCGCTTATCAGTTTCGAGCCCACGATCGCGACCGCCAAGGCCGTGCTGCACCTCCAAGTTCTGGCCAGGATCGAAGACGCCAGCACTCATCGCCAGGTACCGGCGATGCACATCAACGGTGCATGACTCACGCAAGTGTGTAGATCCATGGCGACGGGTTGGCGCTCATCAAGCGTTGGGAGGAGAGCCACGAGCAGCTGCACGCCGAGCCGAGCGCGCTCTCGCACCTACGCAGCGTCGAGAAGCGGCTCCTTACCGTTCTTGGCGGCTTCGACATGCGAGAGGCGACTCTTTCGGACGAGCCCAAGACAAAGCTTCCCGGTCAGAAAAATGAGTCGTCGGTCGTGGCAACGCTCCGCGAGCTTGCCGAGAGCCTCCGGTACGAATCTAACTTGTCCGCCTTTTGTGCTGGATACAACCTGGCCGTGTGTAGACGTCCCAGTCGGACACGCGATGCCTCGGCTCTTGGCTTTTTCATGCACTGGCTCGAGCACCGAGATGCGACCGGCGTGGCCGACTGCATCATACGCGAACTTTTGATCTCGGACAAAAGCGCGATTGTGCCGACAGTCGTGCTGGTGCCGCACGCGCATGCTGTCGTCGCGCAATTTTTGCTCGCTTTCGAGGGCGCCGAAAGGGCGTTCAAGTCCGCCACAGCAGCTTCGATTTTGACGGAGAAATTCAAGAAGGCCACGAAGGCTTTTATGGAGCAAGATGCTCTCCACATCGTGCTCGCCGATTTGCTTGTCCGAATGACTCAGGATCATCCGTTTCACATGCCCCAGATCATCGTCCAGCGGCTGTACTGTAAGCCGCCGCCGACGGCAACGCCGCCAGAGCTCCTCCCAGACGTCGCGCTCTCGTTTGTGCTCCGGCGCATGACCAAAATCCCCCAACACACACGTGACCTGGTCAACGCCACGTACTGTCTGGCCGTCATGTACGAGCGCATCGCCAAAGTCGTCGTCACCGAACGGGTCCACAAGTTTTCAGAATTCAAAGAGTTCGAGAACGCTCGCCCCGACGCAAGCGAGACGTTGCTCAAGGACGCGAGTGAGACGTGGCTCAAGACGGATTGTGTCGTCGCGAGCGAAGAGCTGATTGAGAAGGATCGGCTCATCACGACCGAGGCATTGCGCAAGAAGGGTAGCCCCGAAATGATGAAGGCGCTGAACAAGGATCACGTCGTCACGAGCAAGGCGAAGCCCAAGAAGGACGGCCTCGACGCGAGCAAGACGAAGCCCACGAATGCTCGGCCCGTCGTCTGGACGGCCAAGATCCCTCTGCGAGAAGACTGCCTGTACGACGCGAGACAAATTCCGTTTGTCGAAAACTTCGACGCGACGTTTACAACGGCCGTTGACGGTGCGCCGTCACTGTTTTCCGTGCCAATTGAGACGTGGTGCGTAGGACAATCGAAGCCCAAGATCGTCACGTGCAACGGCACGGACGGCAAAGCGTACAAGCAAGTTGTCAAGCTTGGCAACGTGCTTCCAGTACGCCCGCAAAGACATTTCGCATGGATCGTGCTTGATTTCTGTGGCGCTAGGACGTTGCTGTCATGCGGCTCATGCATTTCTTCAACACGTCGCCGCTACGGGCCAACAAGTTTGCCGGGATGTTTCGCACCTACATTGTACGAAGCGACAAGGGCTCATTTTGGTACGATGGATGGGGTGTAGGTGAACGCGATTGCAGATATCGCCGGTGTTCTCGAGTTTGTCGGCGGCGCCGAAGCACTCTCGTCCCGCATCCTCGAAGACGACCCGACACTCGCGACCATGGATCGTTGGGACGCCACGGTGGGCAAAAGCGGCGCAAACACCACAGTGCGCCTCCAGGTCATGGACAGTGCTCCCGTCACGCTTGGTCGGTGGTTTCTCAGCACGTTCCCAGACCCGTACGCGTGGTACGATCGACTCTTGCGACTGCGCAGTACGGACGTGTGGTGGGGTAGGTACCAAAGCCGACTCACATACACGCGTACGCTCGCGGCGTCGTCCATGCTGTGCATTTTGATTGGTCTGAGCGACCGGCATTGCGCGAACGTTATGTTCGACACGACGAGCGGCGCCGTCGTCAACATTGATTTTGGCATCGTTTTTGATTGCAACTGTGCGAACCATATACGAGTACCGCGACGTGACATCATTTTGGTCATAATAGTCGGCGGCGGCGAGGTCTCCGAGGCTGTGCCATTTCGATTGACGCGCAACCTGGTCGCGGCCCTCGGACCGAGCGGCACGGGTGGCTTGTTTGCCGTGGCATGCGCCGAGACGCTCGAGGTACGACATCCTACTATCACGGCAACCCATAATCCATCGCTTTTGGTTAGTTTGCGCGCCAGCACCAAGACGAGATCCTGCAACTCCTCAAGGTGCGCCACCACTTTAGCCAGACGCCTCACGGAAGTGTACGTAGAGCGACCCGGCCGTTGCGAAAGAAGCTGTGCACTGTGTGAAAAGGCGCTTCAAGAAGTACGTGCCGCCCCAAGTCCCAATCACCATGGACACAGTCTCGAAGCTCGTGGCAGTGGCAACGGATCCCAAAAAGCTCGCCACAATGCCCACGTCGTGGGCGCCGTGGTTTTAGGCTGATAGCAGTTGTACTCACTCAAATAGATTGCGGTATGTTTGCAGGCAACGGGATTCTACGCTCGTCCCGAGACCAAAGGAATGAAAGGGAGCATGCAAAGATGGAGACGCCGAGGGCGCAGCTTGATGGTCGAGCGCCGCGGCCTGGAGGTGTCAAATGCAGCGGGTGTGAGATTTGGCGGGCAACCAGTCACAACTCGCCAGCAAGCAGTGCGTTGCAATTGACCCAATAATCGTGCACACGATGGCCCTGTGATGACGAAGCTGCGCCACGAAGTGTGCCGGAGCCACTTGCTCGTCTCGTTTGGACGTCATTTTAAGAGAGGCTTGGAATCGGCTTGTTTGCCGCCTGCCATCGCCAAGTCGCGCCGAGACTGCCAACGCAGTCGCTGCTAGCATCGGTCATGTCGTCCTGATGCAACGTGGTGGCCGCCTTTGCCAGGTCGCGCTCCGGCGCGACCAAGCGCACACTATTTGCGTCGGTTTTTTGCAGCGAAGCACCACCGAAGAAAGTGCAATTTCGATTCCATTGAACAAGAAGATCCCAACCATGCACGTCGTCAAGGAGCTGCTCGACGACGACTTTGAAAACTACGTGCTATCGACTGAGGCCAAGGCCACGTCTCGAGATTGGCGCGCTACCCCCGCTCGGCGTGCCACCGGCCGCGACCAAGGAGCAATGGCACGCCCGCATCCCGCGCCATGTCGGCCTATCTCGTCAATAGCCGCGGCGACGTTCTCCATGCGACCACGGACCGCGACGGCCACCTCGCGACGCGCAAGGTATTTGGCCTTCCGCACCTCGCCGAGGCGCACCCGGACACCCAGTATGAAAACGCCTCGATGGCCGCGATCGCGCCGGACGCGCTTGTGCTCTCGGATGGCACGGGCGAGCTCATTGTGCTGAGCGGCGACGCCATCAGCCCCTGGAGCATCCGCTTCTCCGGCTCGCCGTTTGGCAAGCCAACCTCGTTGACGCTTCTCGAAGCGCGTCTCGAGAACGAGTACTTTGTCCACGGCGTCGCCTCGCAGCTGCTCTTTCCGACAAGCGCGGACGCAAGCGGCAGCACGTATGCGATCTCCGCCTTCTCGATCAACTTGCAGAGCGGGTCGGTCACCACAACGCTCGTCTACACGGGCGGGAAGCCCCTCGGGTACGCCTCGTTCGCGTCGGCCACCGACGTGCTCTTGCTCGTCGAAGGGCCCCACGAGCTCAAAGTATCGTTGCAGCAACCACCGCCGACGTTGTCACCCATCGTGCACAAGCGACCGCACAGTGATAGCGCCGACGACGACGCCGACGGCCCGGAGCTGCTCAAGTGCCCGCGCGCCGGCATCGGATTCGACGGCGTCCACCAGAGCCCGCACGTGCCCGCGTCATCGCTAGGCCACGCGACAGACGCAACCAGTCTCTACGATCGGTTTGTCACGTCGTCGACGCCGTTCAGCAGCATGGAGACACCGACGTCGTCGGCCCCGGCGTCGGCGCCCGTACCGGACGAGAGCGCGCGGATTGAGATTCCGACGCCCGACTCGATCCTCGGTGGCTTCGAAGAGTGCGACGACCTCGACCCGAACGCCACGGCGGTCTTGTACCGCTATGACGTGGCGTCGCGGGCGTGTCTCGGGCGCCTCCCGATCGACTGCCGGCGCTTCCACTTTCTCGGGTCCAGTGCGACGCCACTGCAGACGTCGGTGACGTCCCATGTCCCGAAAACGCTCCTCTTCCAGTACGACGTGCACGGCGCTGTCTTCTCTGTGGGCGCCGACCTGCGCCACTTGGAGCTCCTCCATGACGCCACGTTTCAGGCGCTGGCGTACGTCCAAGCGTCGAAGGAGCAGAAGAAGTACCTGCAGTTCCACCCAAGTGCGTCGCTCGCGGCCATTGCCGAGTTTGAGAAGCGGCTGTTTGTGTACACAGGCCCGCAAGGCGGCGCTGGTCCGCACCGCCGACTGCACTACCTCGAGGAACTCGCGCTCAAGGCGCCAACGATTTACGGGCTTCAGTTTCTCGACGCTTCGAGCCTTTTGCTGCTCACGCCGTCGGCGCTTCTCCGCGTCTCGATCCCGTCGTCGTCGTCGCACTAAGCTCTTATACTAACTAGTACTCGTTTTGTTTTTGCAAGGCCAGTCTTCAAGACATCGTCGACGAAGGACAACCGATGGAAACATGCATCTGAATTGGAAGATAGAAACGAGTGATTAGATGGCGGTGGTCGTCGCGATGCGCTGGAGCTCTCGGCAGACGTCGTCGAGGCGCTTGTCGGCGCGGCTGCAGTCAAAAGCCTCGACGTCGACGCTCGCCATGACACTGTAGAACGCAAGGACCTACACGCGTCCGTCGCTGCCTGCATCGGCCAAAATGGATGGTTCTACATGCGTCTCGAGGCCGTAGCACGAAAAGATGTGGTTCTCGCCCTTGATATGGACGGCTTGGGTCTCGTTGTGGTTGAGCGTGCTGGCTGAACGCAACGGATCATCACCACAGATCGCGAGGGACCGAGGTCGTACCAAAGAGTGCGACCGACCGCCGCAGCGTCGTGATGACCGTCGCGAGCTCGTCGGGGTTCATACTCGCGGCGTGGCCGTGGCCGGTCGTCTGCGCAATAATCTCGCCGGCGTCGTCGAGGAGACAGAGGTACGACGTGCCTAGCAGGGCACATGACGGAGAGCGCAGGCCGCGAGACGACGCACCCGGGTACACGTCCGCCACGCGGTCCAAGGTCGCGACGAGGAGGCGCCTCCGACGCTCCGTACGTCGCCGCGTCGCGCAGCAGAAGCACCGGCCGACGATGTCCATAAAACTCGGTTTTTGGATCTTCCATGGCCGTTGGCTACTTGGTGCAATCGAACAACTTGCCGTCGAACATTGGCTCGCGTAAAAGAGTTATAGCTTATGCAGCATCGTTGGACCCATTTAACTCTCAAGCTACCAGTGCCAACGGCCTGTCAACTGCTGCAGCGTGGAAGAGTTGCAAGGGCTATACCGATCCGTGCACCACTACTATGTGGTGGCGCCGATAGCTCGCAGGACGCCACGACCCGCTGCTTCCTCGTACCATGTGCGATGGAGCTAACCTAGTCGTGATGGACAGGTTGGGGTCGTTGACACCTCGCTTGGCGGCAACCTGTTGGGTCCGAGCTCGACCATGTAAGGTGGAGAGACATGGATAGTGTAGTAGATAGTTTGGATGCAACTGCGATTGCTTTGAGAAAAGCGACGCCAGATTCCAGATTGGAGGTTTGTTGCACGCTACCTAGATGCGGCGCGACCAGAGTTGTGAAAGGAACGTCTGGTCTGGTCATCTGAAAACTTCAGCACTCACTCTGGCGGCCTCGCATTCGAGTGCGAAGCAGCTCAGCGGCGTCGGCTTTCACGTGGCGTCCGTTGGTCGACATCTCTCGCAACGGTACATGGCCTGCCCCAGTCGTGGGTCCCATTTGTGCTTGATGAACGATGAGAAACGAAGTGTCTTTGTCGTCTCGCGCACCCCAGAGGAGCTGCATGTCGTTTCTTCCAAGGCGGCGTGACCGCGGGCGCTGCGGAGCTGCTGCCAGCTGTACACACAAGGGCGCGAAGACAACTACGCGACTCTTCTTGGTCGCGACCAAAGTTGCAAGTTGCGACCCGATTCGTGGTTGAAGTGGACAAAGCACGAATAAGACATTATTGTTTTGCAGCAATAATGCGCTCCTGGGCTGCATGCCCGGGGCGGCAGGAACAGTCGGTTGAAGAATGCATCACTCCGTTCAGCAGCTCCATACGCCATCAGTCCGCGAGCGCAACAACTATCTATCTATCTATCTATCTATCTATCTATCTATCTATCTATCTATCTATCTATCTATCACCAAGCTCGCAACGTGCTCACAACGCAGGCCGGTTGTTCGACTGACATCGGGTTCACAAAATGCCTCGCGGACAGCGAGCGCAAACCTCCACCAAGATGCCTGGTTCATCCTCATTCATTTCTTATTTTTAGGCCATG